AAAAAAAAAAAAGAAAAAGGATATGTCTGTGACTTCGCTCTATCATCAGGAACCATGTTGTCTGCATACCCCCATGACGTAATACCATGCATCCTACTCTAATCTTGTGTTATTCATTTTCCATGAGCTTTGTACCCTTCCCATGGGCGTAGGGACATAGAGAACAGGGGGCACATGCCCACCCTGAAAAAAATATGTATATTTATAATTTTTTATTAGGTAGGTGGAATTAGGCCAACCCTCATTACCAAAAATCAAAAATATTAAACACACTCTAATAAATTTGGACCGGCTAAATCATGTGCAAAAAAAATAATCTAGTCCACCTTTCACTCAAAGAAATATAAAAATATGTTAAAAATCTTGAGGAAAAATTGGGGCCACTGCCCACTCATGTACACACAAGTGAAGCAAAGAACAAGTTGAGTTTTATTGTTGGGTTGTAATTTTTGTTGGGATTTATTGAGTTTTATTTTGATTACTTGCACAAATGAACCCTAATCATTTTGGCCTTTTGAATTCATGACACGTGCAACAAATAACGAGTGCATGTTCTTTTTTCGTAACTTCGATGACCTGCGATTAATGATTAAGTTTATTTTTTTCGATAATTCTCAATCTTATACAATTCATAATTGTTTGAAATTGATATATTTTTTTAAAATTGATTCTACTTAGCCTAAAATTGATTATGATTAATTTAATTGCTTATATGTGGAAATATATTTTCGATCACATTATTGATAACGTTATCATACAATCCTTTCAAAATCTGAAAAATTGTCGGGGTCAACTGTACAATAATGTAATTAGCCTCAATTTTTTGCAAAAGATTGTAATTAGGTTTTTTTATATGAGTAGTATTTTCATAGACTACGTATATTAGCGTTTGATCATTTTGTGTTTAATGAGTCTTTAAAATATGCAAATTGATTGGAGAAAAAAATTAAATATTGTAGGTTAAGTGTGCCCACCCTAAAACAAATTTCTGACTCCGCCCCTGACCGTTGTCATGCAGTTCGAAAAAATAATTTCCTAAAAGTGGGAATTTTTAACTTATTTCTTAAATTCATACAATTTTTAAAACATCATTACAGACACTTTTAAATAATGTTTTAAGTTTAAAAGTGTCAACTTGACTAACACCTTTAAATGAATATTGCGTTAAAAGAGCAGGACTAAAATCACACAAAAAATATTAATTCAACTGACATTTTTAAATAACATTTTGGCTTTTTAGAACACTCAAGTCTGACTGACATTTTTTGAATGACTAACGTTTTTAAAGACTATCTAAGTTTAGGAATTAGTTTCAAAACCATCCCATTTCAAAATGAGAAATTCTATTGATACTTAAAAATCTGACATAATGTTATGACTTTATTGTAACCGTTGGATTAATACTAAGTTCTAATTTTCGATGAAGTTTATTGTCAATCCAATGAATATAGTGAATTATGTCTAAATAACATTAATCTTTGAGAATATGGCTCCCTTAAATTTTAAAAGTAATATCAATTGGCAGTTCATGACAAGTGTCATTTATAGTTTATTCATGGAATTATAAAATATGGGTTAAACACATGTAGGACTCAACTTGGCTTAATTCAAACCAGAAAGCTGAATGTTGAAGACAAATAATTGTATTGACCTTATGATTGTGGGCTTTACACCTTTATTCTACAGATTGTTTTTATAATTATACGAATCTATACGAAAACAAATCATATTATATTTATATGTAAATCCAAATTCTAGTAGAACGAACGAAGATGTGATTGTGGCTCACGAGAGCGACGTCAAGTGGCTTGGCCACTTTGAACATGTGAAAAATTGCATTGTCTCTAGTCCCTACTAGTTTTTATCATCATCAATGAACGTCTGTCATGATTTATTTTTGTTGGCACTAAAAAACACAAGCTATTGTCTCCTGCGGTGTGGGTGTAACTTGAACGAACTAACTCAAACTCAAACTCAATTCGAGAAAAAAATAATAATAAAAATTGGAATTAATTATAACAAGACAATCTATTTTCTCAATAGATCCAAGCGCGAATTTATTAGGCCATTAATGACACATATGAGTCCTCTTCTTTTTTTTTAAATTCCTATTTTGACCCTCAACTGATAAGGAATACTTTGATGGTATAAATACGTGATTGTTTCATTTAAAATATTTATTTTCTCTCTCCTCTCTCTTCTCTCTTATTATCTCTCTCGCACACACACTATATACACACAAGACTATACTAACAGTACCAACTGAGTGACAGTTCAACATATTGACAGTAATAGTGACGACAGAATGACACGTCCACATTGGCACAACAACAATGGTTGTTGCTGTCACGATAGAACATATTTTATAGGTATTTTTGGAGTGTGGTCCACAATTGCAACTCTCACTCACACATCAACATTTTATATGTAGCAATCTTTTCCTAGAGTGTATATTGACATCTATATATACACATAACAACATTGTAAGAGATAGAGAACGTAAGACGTAAGGGGGAGAGAGATTTTTTAGAATCTAGGTGACATATTTTAGGATCTATGAGCATGAGATTTTATGTGAGAGAAAGAACTGCTTGTGAGATAAAAATTTATGTGAAGAGAGTGTTATTTGTTGGAGAGGGAACGTAAGAGTAAGACATGAGGGAGAGAGAGATTTTTTAGAATCTGCATTAGATGTTTTATTATCCGTGAGAGAGAGATTTAAAATGAGAGAGAAATTGCATGAGAATTTTTAGGACATAGATGAAGATTTTTAGGATTTGTATTTATTTGAGGGTATTTATTGTCTTTTCTCATTTACTTGTCCTTAATGACCCAAAAGGTGCGCATATGGACTAATTGACCAAATATATTACTACATAGGATTGGCCTCCAAAAATCCCAAAAAAAAAACTTGAGTTGAATTTTTTAAAAGGATCCTTTTGAGGCCGGTATACCAAAACGTACTTATTTGTCAAAAAGTCCTATGCAAAAAACATTATGTTTTTAAGTACATCTTAGACGGAAAATGTAAGTTTTGTCTTTATATTAAAAATAAAGAATAAAGAAATCTTAAAAAATGGAAGGAGTTTAAATAACTCAACTGCCACCATATCTCCGTTAAACACAGAATGAAAATGCAAGATTGAAGGAATAAAAAATTGATCGCAAAAAATCCTCCACAAATCTTATTTACCTACTCATTTCGTTGTTCAAGCACAAAAAAATGGGAATTGAAGAAACGCGTGTTTCCAACTTTTGAAAAAAAGATTGAAGCGAACACAAGAAGAAAGGGCATCATAGTGTGATGACCTAGTGTGGAATAATAAAGTGGCATCATAGTGTGACGATCCAGTGTGATATCCTTGTCATATGGCTTGGATACAATAATTAACCACACACGTTCCCTTGGGTTTAGTAAAGTGACATGATAGTGTAATAACCTAGTGTAACATCCTTGACATAAGGCATGGACACTACAATTAAACACACACATTCACCACTTTGTGGCCCATTTTGCTTTTTGGATAAACAGGTGGGCTGTTTGGGTTGCTCTACGAACAAGGACTTTCCGAACGAATTGGACTTTTAGATCGGGCGGCTCATTTCTAAAATTCCACCATTATCAATATGTTATTTTAATTATCTATTAACCCAATTCTTTTCTCCTATTGATATCGGGCGATTTTTAAAACTATGCATAAGAGAGATGGTGTACCGTCGTTGACTCGTGGTGTTGCCGGCTAGCGAAGATGGAGAAGGCTGATCATTTGAGTAGTGGGTTTGGAATGGATGAATGTATTTTTGTGTTTCGATAAATTATGCAATGATATAATTGTCTTTTTACATTCAAGTTTGACTTTGACTTTCAATTTTAAGATACCTACTCTCGAAATTGTCATGTCTCACAATTTTCGTCACTTTCACAATAGATGCACAATTTCGCAAGTAGATATCTAATACATTTTTTGTCAGTTTAGACGAAAATATTAAATGTAGCAACAATGGGGTTATATTCTATTTTTCAAATCATAGAAGGGTAGTGTAAAAACTACTGAACCATAAGAGAGTAAACTGAATTTTACCCTATTAATTCCAACATATTTTCATCAAATTTTACCTTTGATTTGTATCCATATAGAGAGAATTCATATCGAACTGAATATTAGTATATCCAATTCCACATCTATTAAATACAATATAATGGAGCAAATTTGAATAATCGGTTAAAATCTTTTGTGGGTACACTTCACTTTGTAGTTGCGTTATATGCATGATGTAGGCAATATTAGTCGGATATGAGTTCGACAAATGGTTCCCGTGCTTCCACCCAAAGAGGATAGCCCCTTCTCCACCAGATTATAATGCTCAGGAGTAACAACTATAACAAGCTCCTTATCACAGGCCAACCCATAGATACATGTTAGACAACAGCTTTTTCATTTTTGTCTCAAACATTAAAGAAACACTTTCTACAGACATGCCCACCTCCGCATCGAAATCTGCCCCTAGCACTTGTAGATAAGTGAAAGAGTCATTGAGTTCGATCAGGCATCGAGTCAGTATAGTTCTACAAGACTAAGGAGGTACATCAGCAAAAAATTAGGAATCCCGATGATGACAATATATGAGAAACATGATGGTCGCAGGACTTCACTATAACCATTACTTGGTACTCGAGTATGAGAAAATCAATCATGGATACTCCAGGGGCCTAAAAGAGTAAAATGGGATGAACTCCATCTTGCATATAACTCAACAAGTATGTCAATAATTTTAACATAGGTGAAAAGAAAATGCTTTGATTGGATGAAAATACAATATGATCACATATTTCTGTGACGGGATTTCATAACAATAGCACATGACATCCTCAAATTAATCCAATGGCTGATGCTAGATTGTTATCATACTCTTGAGTACCATGTAAACATGTACGTCATTGCTAGTCTATAAACTACGGGTCTCTTAGTACCTCCGAGTGGTTCCCCTGTTCTCAATTGTTAGTGCCATGCAGATGCCGAGACCAGGTTCCTGTCCTTCCACCCCAACAACATAGCTCCATCCTTCTCCACCAGTGTATAATGCGGAGAGTAACACCCTAACAAGCTCCTTATTACAGAGTTAACGTAAGAGCTTAGAGGATATTGTTGGAACCCTGCCATTGTCAATCTGGACTTCCACTTGCCAAAGAGCTCATGACGTTCTACCCTATCCTTGCCTTCACAAGCTATAATGTTCACCATGTCTCTACCCAAACAGTGCTGCTCCACATTAATTCGCTCCTTCCTGTTCCTTTGCAGGGTGACATCGATTGACTCAAACATAGCCAAATAGTAGTCTAGAGTTTCTACGAACCGAGGGAGGAAAGGAGCTGTGTTTGTGTTTGATTCTTGCTCTATCAAAGTGATCACCTTGGGAGAAAGAGACTTCACCATCCTCAGAAGCCCATCCCGTGGATTTCTCACATCAACACTCTCATCAGGGGTGTGGTGGAGCTGCAGAGGGAAATTTACAACCAGCGCCTCCCCAGGCCTTACGCCCAGCACATCCCTTGTGACTTCTGGAGCAAACATTGGCAGTGCATGAAACTCAACTGGGATATTGCATTTCGCAGAAATCACAGCCAACCTTTTGCCTACTGCCTCCAAACCGTCACCACGGGCATGTTTAGAAACTGGATCATCGATTCCTGTGATCCGCACATGAGGGGGGCCACTTGGTCTAGCTGCAAGAGCTTGTAAGAGTGTTATCCACTGAGTCCCCTGAGCAATTTGAAAGTCTATGATGTGGATGCGATCTTCATGTCTGCACGCTTCAGCAATGGCACCATTTGCAGCCATGTAACCAAACTTTAAGTAGGGGCATATTTCATACAGGATATGCATGTAAGAAAGCAAGTCCTTGCCTTCTGGCACCTTACACCTGAGGGACTGATAAATGGCAGTGCCTGATGCCTCTTTCCTTGCTACCAGCCCTTCTACCATGTATGCACCAAGACGCTGGATAGGCTCTCCACTAATAGACACAGCACTCCGAGCCTGTTCAATCAATTCCTGAAAATCATCTAGTTTTTGTTCAGAGAGAGCTCTGGCACATGCAATAAGCAACTCTCGAAGATTACCAGGAGGGATACCCTGCAAATCTGCTGCTTCCAGTGCTCTGTGACGCTTCTCAGTATGAACTCTGTCGCCTGATTTACCAGACATTGAAGCATAAGACTGAGATTGAACCACATGGGACTCCTGATGTTGGTCGCTCCAAGCTCTAGACCTCAGACCCGATGTTTGTGGGCCCTCATTTTCCCCTAAAGAAGGATTTGGCATGGTCCTTTCCACTTCATCATCGGGACCCATCAGACATTCACTTGGTTTTAATAAAAATAGCATTATAGTGTGATGACTCAGTGTGACATCTTTGACATAACGCTTGAATACTACAATTAAACACACACATTCCCTTGATTTTAATAAAGTGGCATCATAGTGTGAGGATCCCTAATGGATGAAAACTAATGCCCAATAATGTTTTTATAGAAAAAAATTATTGAAAATTTGAGTATGTGATTAAAAAATAATTAAGCTTGTTAATAAAAAAACAAAAATGAAATCAAAACTTCATACCTGATATGATGCTCTTCTATTTGAGAAATTTGAACGTAAAATCTGTTTAATACGGTCGTATTTCGGTGACTGATTTTTGGATAATTTGAATTCCGACTGGTAGTTTTGAGAAATTCGAAAAAGATAAATTTTGGTGAAGATTGAATTCATCAATGGCTGAAAGTAGATAGAAATGTAAATTTCGACAGGTAGTTTTGAGAAATTCAAAGAAGACGAATTTCAATGAAGATGAATTCATCAGTGGCTCAAAGTAGATAGAAAAAATGTTGGTTATCCTATTTAAAATTCAAACGTTCCATTCCACTAATTTAGAAAACCATCAATAAACTGAAACATATCCAAAAAATAAAGAACTGTCAAATCAAAAATTCTAAAATAAAATAAGGGCAATTACGTAGAAGATAAATAGTAAAAATAGTAAATGTATACTTGGTTACAAAACATTTATGATAATTAGAACTGAACGACTTAAAAGCCTAAGCAATGTACTTTTTCACAAAGAAGTAGAATATGATATACCTCTTGACAATTTCCTCCTTTTCAAATCTTGGTTTGGGTCTGTGGTAAAAAACTTCAACTCGAATTAAATTTAGACCATATTCGGGTGAAACTTAGGTTTAAGGTTCAACCTGAACTAGGCCCGAATTACTAAAATTATGCTCAACCTAAATATAAAATGGGTTCAACCCAAAATAAAAATATATATACGCATAAATACACAAATTTTAAGTATATTTTAGGGCTTTATTGAATTTATTTTAAATCTAGGTTAGTCAAACTATTATGTAATTCCTAAAATTAAATATGCAATCAATTTAGGCAGTAATTGGGTTGAAAGCCCGGCTCAAGTTAGGTAAGAATTGAAAATTTTACAACTTAAGTTGAATTTGAATTGATCCTCTAATCAGCTCAACTCACCCGAGTTGCACCCCTAAGCAGGGGAGGGGGACTAAGCCTCTCTAAATGGAACAACCCGGTCTATTAGCCCCAAAGCTCACCCGACTTTGGTCGGGCTATTTTGGCAACTTCCCTGGGCATGCCATGGGTTCGACTCGTGTCCCGTTAGCCTATCTTGACCCGGCCTAGGAAGTTTTCCCGTCAGACAACAGTTTGCAAATTTGAAGGGTGGCAACCCCACGGTTGGGCTTAAGATTTTTCAAAGAATACTTGGCTTAAATCCAGACATTATTCTTGTAAAAAAAATTAATAGTAAGGCTTAAATCCAGACATTATTCTTGTAAAAAAAATTAATAGTAAGAGTTGCAATACTGCACATGCCGAAGTGCATCGACAAGAAGTGACAAGAAGTGAGGTAACATAGGCTTTAAAGTTGGTTTTGGAATTTGTATATCCATCTTCATTCTTGTAGAGAAGATCAAAGACACGCGCAAGATTGAGGACTTGGAACAATGGTTGGATGGAGGCATACTTGGTTTATATCCTCCCATGAATTTGTAACTTATTTGTCAAACTCAGCATATGCCTCTTGTTTTGAGGCTCCGTGCTGTTTCATGTTACACTCCAGAGCTGATGCTACATCTCCTCTCTCTTGCCCATGCTACAAGCATCGAAGAAACCTAAAATTTAGTGAGATGTAAATCAAAAAAAAGACAAAATAATTCATAACGAGATGAATTGTTGTATGGTTGCAACCCAAATCTCACTCACACACATTGATTAATCTCAAGTTTTATACGGTGAGGACGTGCATGTTTTTAAAACAAGATATTTCTACTTCGCTTTCTTACCTCATGTCCTACCATGTCGTCCATGAGTCTACCAATTACAGCTGAAGCTCTAACAATCAAAGGTTCACTAGAAACCCAATCAAAGGCCTCCTTGATACCAATTTTCCCATGCCAACAAAGGAAGTGGTGGAAAGTATCATGTAACCACTGGAACTAGAGTGACTTTCATTTACCCCTTCATTGTTGGAGTATAGCCCTCATTAAACCACTTGGCCTCTTGAAAGCTTACTCTGATTAATTTTTTTCATCTTAAACATGGAAAAAAAGAAAAAATATATTCCTACTTTATCCATCCGTCTAAAGATAGTTTTTTTTCCTCGTAAACTAAGTAATAACTGGAAAGTATAAGAGTTCTTACTACTTCTTTACCTTAGTTGACGCAATACGTTTTGCCTTCTTTGACCGCCTGAAAACTTGGGTAAATTTATGAAACCGAATAAGTATTTTCTTGTGTCATATCCAAAGTTGATGCTTATTAAAACTAGAGTACAAGTCCCTAAATTGATCTATTTAATTTATAACTCGACCCCAAATAGATTATAACTCTAATTTACCTGCACATTTAAATACAATTCCTTAGTGATACCCAAGTTTATTTCATATAATCAACACCTCTAAGATAGAAAACAGTGGGTGACTATTGCATAGACAGATAAGACAGACCAAGAGAAGAATCTTTTAGAGAGAGAGAGAGAGAGACGATGTACCTATCATGCAGCCACCCAAGAACAAAGCCTGAACCAATCCAACCTCGTACTTTTGTCCACATAGTAAACTTTTTGGCATTAAATTTTAACAAGTTTGTGGCTTAAAGTAAAGGGACTGGGCTGTACGTGAATGGCTTAATCATGCACAGTTCGGATCAGATTTGCTAAGATTTGATTCTTTATCCATTTTCTCACCGAATAGCATTCAAGCTTCCGAAAATCATTTCACAGTGTTATCAGAGCTTGAAGTCTTCAAGTAGAGTTAAGTGATATTTCAGTATTAATTTGATTATTATCAGATTTATAAGAGATATCAAAGTGATCCTCTTTTGTTAGAGCTAATATTTGTTAGGTTTGACATAATTGTTGTGTACTCTTGTTTTACTCCATAGTGAAAATATCTGAGCATTATTGTCGTGGACGTAAGCAATAATCGAACCATGTAAATTGATTTGTCTTGTGTGATTGTTCTTTTATTTTTCTACTTAAGTGTGAGTATCAATATCAATCCAAATTCAATTCCTGGGATATTTTTGACAATAAATTGGTATCAGAGCTGGTATTGATTTTGAGTACTATCCAGGGTTATTATTCATTGGGTACTATTTAGATAGTACTATTTAAGTCATAGTAATCGTATGCACCAGTTTCTTGGACTACACCAAATTAAGTTTTAAAGTCATGACTATAAATTTTTCAAAGATCTCGAATGCTAAGATCGAGGTGGAGAAATTTGATGGAAGTAACAATTTTGGGCTTTGGCAAGTTCAAGTTAAAGATATCCTAATCCAACAGGGACTACATAAAGTATTAGAGGGTAATCCTAAAGATACAGAGACCCACTCGCAAAGCAATAGAGATATTTGTTACAATTGATGAAATTCTGTATGGTTGCACATCAGAAAGAGGAAGGCCACCTGATGGGGATAATGTCTTGGCAGGGGAGGGTGAACTTGAGACGGATAATGTATATGATTTGAGCTCAGACGATAATGACTATGGGGATGACAGTAATGCACATGAAGTCCAAATCCATCTAATTTTTTATCAGAGGAAATGGCCCCCTTGCACTTGGTGATCCTTTTGATCCTCCACCTTTGAGAAGGCTACCAGGAAGACCAAAGAAAAATAGGAGGGAAGCCGATGAGACAAATACTAGGATTAGTATTGCTAGAAAAAACTTGATTGTTAAATGTGCCATATGCAAAGAGTATGGGCACAATAAGAGGACATGCCAAAGGGCACCTGTGAGGAACAGAGGGAGCACAAGCAATGAGACAGAACTGGTAAAATATTCCTGCCATTTGGACAAACATTTAATAATTTATGTTACATGAGTTGCTTCTCATACTATTAATTTTGATAAGGGAAATGGTACTCTAGAACAGCCAGCACAAACATCGCAGGCAACCCAAGCACCACTTAACAGTGAAGCAAGACAAACAAGTGTTGTAACTACTAGCCCAGTCAGCACAGGCAACACAGTTGCATCAAATGTAAGCAAAGGTAGAGGGAGATGCAAAGGCAGAAATGAAGTGTAACCTGCATAGGATTGAAGCTGTAGAAAGAAACTAACCACAAGACAGAAAGTTTTTGTATATAGGGATTACTGGGATGCTGCTGCTTTTGTTTTTGTTGCACCAGCATCCAAGAATGCACATAAGACAGTTTTGGGAGGTTTTTGTTAACTAGTATTCGGGCAGTATGTTGCTGCTGTTGTTTTTTTTTTGTTGCAGCAATGTATTATGTATGTTGTTGATGCTTTTTGTTTTTTGCTACAGCAGCAAGAATGCACGTAGGGTTCTTGCATTTTTTTTGTTTTAACAAATGTACTGGAACCTTATTATGGTATGGGAATGAAGAATGGTAGAACAGTTTGTTATAATACTATGGTATGTCAAGTAGAACAGTTGTAGAAATCATGCTAATTCCTCCATTCTATTGGACCAAACATTACAAGATCACACAAAGTTTAGAACACATTGTTCGACCAAAAATTAGCAAACCCAATCCAAAAACCATTCATAGATAAACTAATACATTAACGTAACTTTAGCAAGGCATCAACAACCAATCGCTTATTCTTGCTCATTGAAACAATTATAACAAATATAAGACCCGGCTTGTGGCA